TTTATGTATATTATCTCATACAATCTTTTCAAAAACTCTCAAACTTAGTCAATTTGGTTATAAGCTAGTAAACCGGACTTGAGAGAACTTAAATGACTTGTTTACATACACAGAAATAGTGGCAGAGTTGTAGACTTAAGTTTAGGCCGTTTGTTTTACAGGCCATGCCTTGCCTATTAGGGGAGAGGGAAGAATGTTGAAGGATATATAACTTCATCCCAAGCATCCGTGATGTGGAGAATTGAACTGAGAAGCATCCTTGTGTAATAAAATATACACCAAATTCAGTCAGAAAACTTGCATTTAAGTCTCTTCTCTGCAGTTATGGCTGGAAAATGAAGTTGATGCTTATGCAAAGGCCATTGGCCAAAATGAATCCTCACTCCCAAAGTCCATGTGGTATATTTCAAGCAGTAGAGCTCTGAGGTTTAATATGCAAATCTTTCTTTCATTTTTGAGGTTGGTAATTTCTGCTTAACTACAGAGTTTGGCTCGTGAAGCAAACATGTTTGTATAATGTGCTGGTTTCCATGTGTTTGGGAGATGTTGTTGTTGCAGCACGGATGGGGATTTTAAATGTTGCTAGGACTAATTCTCTTCTATAATGATGTATTTTGACCATTTTGGATCTTTTGTCATATGTAATGTTTTTTCACTGATCTTTTTTTCTGGTTATTTTCAAGAGACTTGAGAGAGCCAATGTTTCCTCTCAACGGACACAGTAAAAGCATGAGGTAAAAGGGGAAAAAAGTTTACTAGTAACCTTTTAAATTTAAGAAAACTTCTTTTGAACAGAAATGATTTTTTAAATTATTTTATTGGGGTCACATTGGCTTACAACATTGTTTAAATTTCAGGTGTACATTATTATATTTCAGCTTCTGTGTAGACTGCATCGTGTTCACCACCAATAGTCTGGTTTTTATCTGTCACCATACATGTGTGCCCCTTTACTCCTTTTGTCCTCCCCCGACCCCCTTCCCCTCTGGTAACCACCAATCTATTCTCCTTTTCTATGTGTTTGTTTATCTTCCACATATGAGTGAAATCATAAGGCATTTGTCTTTCTCTGTCTGACTTATTGCACTTAGCATAATACCCTCAAAGTCTATCCATGTTGTTGCAAATGGCATGATTTTGTCTTTTTTATGGCTGAGTAGTATTTCATTGTATATATATATATATATCACATTTTCTTTATCCATTCATCCGTTGATGGGCACTTGGGTTGTTCCCAAGTCTTGCCTATTGTGCATAATGCTGTAATGAAAGTAGGGGTGCATATATTTTTTTGAATTATTGATTTCATGTTCTTTGGATAAATGCCCAGAAGTGAAATAGCTGGATCATATGGTACTTCTATTGTTAACTTTTAAGAAATCTCCATGCTGTTTTCCATAGTGGCTGTACCAGTTTGTATTCCCACCAGCAGTGTATGAGGGTTCCCTTCTCTCCATATCCTCTCCAACACTTGTTATTTCTTGTCTTGTTAATTATAGCCATTCTGATGGGTGTGAGGTGATATCTCATTGTAGTTTTGATTTGCAAGAAATGATTTTTTAATTGCATTATTTATTGTTGGTAGAAGCAAACAGTACCCAAATAGTTACTACTCACAATGGTAACAAAACTTACCTTTTGATGTTCCACTATCATTTTTAACCTTGTATTTAACTTTTAAACATATTTAGAAACATGAAATTTCCACAGCTATATTCCAGAAAGCAACAAAAAAAGAATGTTTTTTAGATGAAGTCAAATATATCAAATATTTTTTCTGACAAAGTACCAAACATTATAATTAACCAAATATTCTATTTAAAAATTCCTAAGAGAAACCAAGCATAACATTGTACTGCTCTCCTAAAGAGGATAATTTTTAAAAATAACTGTATGCTGCCATTACATTGTAGAGAATTAAAAAAATATTGAGAGAAAACACCACCAAAAATGGCAGAGTAAGGAACTCAAAGTTCCATGCCAAAAACCGTCAGAATCAACTTTTGCAGAACTCTGGAATCTAATCAAAAACTTACAACAACCAGGGAAAATCTTGTTGAAGAGAGATGCTCCTGTACTGCAGTAAGAGAGTGTTGTGGTGTTTTAAATTGCCAACCCACCATCCCCAATACCCCAGATAAGCTGGCGAAGGTTGCTAGTACCAGAATGAACATTATGGACTTTATTCTTAAATAATTGTGGTTGTGGGTCTTGATCCATCTGAGAGGTCCTCCTCAAGGTTTCTCTTGGTTTTGCCTGACTCAGAGCCTTCCAGGAGTGGAGTGGCTTTTGCCCCACAGCAGCCTGGGGCAAAGGACAACACTCAGGAGAAGCAATAAACAGAATGAGAAGCCTTGGAGGAAGAGACTGGGAAGGGAGATACACGGGGGGAGAAAGGCTTTTAAAAGTTTTGCAATATAACAGAGAGATTGAGAAGGCCACACATATGACCAGGATTAGATACATGTGCTTTAAAAGCCTGAGGAGATCCAAAGCTTTCACCTCTGACTGGCCTTCAGACTATGCAAGTAGGAAGTGAAAACTAATGCAGAGTTGCAAATGGCCTGGCCAAGCACTGAATGAGATCTCCAGCACAGACAAATCTGCAAAGATGGGAGAAGCGTTTCTTCTTTTTTCTTCTTATTTTCTTTTATTGGCTCCAGGTATTTAAAGTAATTGTCAAAACACCAGCTGATCAGTAAGCTAAGACAACACAGACTTCAGTGGACACATATAATAAAGAATACAGACTTTACAAAAATAGTTTAGAAAAGTCACTAAACAAACAAACAACCCACAACAGCCAGCAACAACAAATCCTGAGGAGAGGGAAGAATATGATTCCCAGAGGTGACACATTATAATATTCAAAATGTCCAGTTTCAAAAACAAAACAAAACAAAATATGAGGCATGCAAAGAAAGTATGGCCTATTCCCAGGAAAAAAAGAAATTAATAGAAACTATCTCTGAGTAAACCCAGATATTGGACTTACTAGGCAAAGTCTTTAAATCAAGTGTCTTTAATATGCTCAAGGAGCTAAAGGAAATTATGGACAAATAACCAAAATAAACCGGGAGAATGATGTCTCACAAAATAGGAAATATCAATGAACAGGAAGAAATTATAAAAAAGAATCAATAGAAATTCTGGAGCTGAAAAGTAGAGTAGCTGAAACAAAAACTGCAATAGAAAGGTTTAACATCAGATATGAACAGGCAGAAGAAAAAATCAGGGAACTTTAAGATAAGTCAGTTGAAATTATCCAGTCTGAGGAGCAGAAAGATTATTTGAAGAAACGATGGGCAAAACTTTTAACATTTAAGGAAAGTCACGAGTAGACACATCCAAGAAGGTCAACAAACTTCAAGCAGGATACACTCACCAAGACACATTACAGTCAAATTGCCAAAGCCAAAGCCAAAGCAAGTATCTTGAAAGCAGGGATTATTAGCATACTAGGGTATTACTCCTTACTTGGATCCTGATCCAAACAAACTGTTAAAAAAAACTATGATAGAATTGGGAATTTAAACACGGATTGGACATAAAATGATATTAACAAATTATTAATTGTTCAGTGTGATAATGGTATTGTGGTTATACTTAAAAGAGTTCTGTAGATGTGCACTTTCAAGTACTTATGCACAAAGTGATATTACATGTGAGATTCACTTCAAAAATAATCTCTAAGGGTGAGAAGTGGGTAAGGGTACAGATGAATTAAGACTGGCCGTGAATTGCTAACTGTGGACTCTGGGTAATGAGCACATTGGCTTTCGTTATTCTATCCTATTTTTGCATATCTTTTAAATGTTCCATAACAAAAGTTAAAATAAACCATAAAAAGAATGAATTTTTAATCAAAAAAGGAACAAAACAGAGAGGTATTAAGAAGAATTAGAAAACAATTCCATCTCTTTGACTCATTTCCTGTCCCCCCATACATTTTGGTACACAGAAAATGGGGGGCATTGGTAGCAAGGAGGACCACAGGTTGGGAGTGTGGTGGGTGGGGCATCTTGCTCATCACAGATATTCTTGCATTAATTCTGTTTTTTAAAATATTGCATTAAAATGCGATTTATCTTGCCTACTGACGTTTTTTGCACCCTCTAATTCTGGGCCTAAGTCCTGGCGGGGGAGGGGCGTATCCTGGGAGCAGAGGAGGGGAAGAGCCAAGTCCCCAGAGAAGAAGTGGCAATGGCCAAGAGCCTCCTGAGAAGATCCTGCCCTTCCCGGGCAGGCCGAGAAAAGCCCAGGAATACACAAAGCAGGGCGCGCATTAGAGCCCAGGCCGGTGCTGGAGGGCAGGGGGGCCGGGAGAGGCGCGCGGACCGACTGACTCGGCGCGACGCCGCGGGGCGGGAGGGGCTCTGCCGCTCGCGCGGACGGAGGCCTCACGTGACCGGCCCATGCTGACTCGCGCGCCTCGCGCCGGCGTCAGACCCGGCGTCGCTCGCTGCCTTCTCGGTCTCTGCTCCCGGTGGCCCTGAGGGCGTGCGGGCGGGCGGGCGGCGGGCGGCGGGCGGCCACGAAAAGTAGGAGGCGGAGGGGCAGCAGGTAAGGGACCCGGAGGGGGCTCCCTGGGGTTGGCGCGGGAGAGCGGACACGGCCTGCGGACCCTGCCAGGGGGTCCGGCTGCCCCGGGTGCAGGTGCGCAGAGACCGCAGCCCCACGTCCCCGCGGCTCCGTGTTTGGCCGCAGAACATGGTGGGCCTTTCCTGTGTGGAGGGCTGCACGGCCCCGAGGCGACGAGCCTTCGGAAACACCTGCCTCCCGCACCACCGCGAGCTTTGGCGACACCCCCCCCCCGCCCCTGTCCTCCTTGGTGTAGAAAATGGTGGTCCGCGCGCGGGAGGGCGGCTGGCACGGACGGCTGGGGTGGGGGCAGGAGACGCAGGCCGGGGGCGACCGGGGGGCCGGGACCGGGCGGTGGCGGGTCGGCGCCGAGCGCTTGGCTTCAGCAGCTCCCGCCCCCGCTGCCCCAGCCCGGCCTTCTGCAGGTCTGCGGGTCTGAGTGTCGCGGCGGCGCGCTCGCGGCGAGAATCGGGAAGAGGAGGAGACGGCAAGGATAGGCCCAGGTCGGTGCGGGGACAGTGGCGGGGACGGGGGTGGGGAACGTGTGGAAAGCCCAGAGACCCCAAGTCCTCTCCCCAAGCCCGTCCTCCATTTTGGTGCCTGCAGGGGCCTGGGGATGGATCGGCAAGGAAAATGGTGGGTTTGGGGCGAGGTAGGGGAGGGGAGAGAAGCGAGAGGGAGGGGGGAGAGCTCGGACTGGGGGCCCCCTAGAGGGCGTAGGGAGCCTCTCAGGTGGGAAAAATGAAATTTAAAAAAGTCTTTGGAATCCAGGGCTCTGAATCTTAAAAGGTGCGTAGTAGGGCCTCTGTCCTTGGTGCTGATCAGCCGACCAAGAAAATAGCCCCTTCTCTCGTCTCTTGTCTCCTAGGAGCAATGGCGTCCAAAGAGGAAGCAGCAGTAAAAAATCTCAAAGTGGCAAATGCCGAACAGGAAAACGAAGGAGAGGACCCGGCCCCTGTACAAAATGGAGAGGAATCATGCCATTTGAAGAAGGGTGAAGGCCAGAAGCCTGGAGGAAATGTTAGGCTGGGGCGAGTTAGGCGCCTTGTCCCTAATTTTCGATGGGCCATACCTAACAGGCAGCCTGATCACAATGAAGTGGGAGATGATGTAGAGAAGTTCATAGGGCAGATGATGGAAATCAGGAGAAAGACTAGGGAGCAGCAACTGAGGCATCATATGCCTTTCCAGACTCCTGAACCTGATAATCATTATGACTTTTGCCTTATCCCTTGAATCCTAAGGTTTTCCCTGAGGTTAATAATGTGTCTTCTGGTCTACAAGCTTGTAGTTTTGTGACTTCCTTTTTCTGAAAACCGTTTGGTGTTTCCACTTTCACAACAGTTTCTAAGTGAGTATTGTCTTGTCTCAGTGTAAATCTTTCTGTCTGGCAGGGCAGTTTCACCCAGTTTTAGGGAAAATATTCTTTTCATAATATGAAATTAATAAAGCAATTTAAAATGCAATCTTCCTCTTCTACCCCAGTCTTTATTTTTGTTAATATTACTTTTCCTCTGTTAGCTACCTGGACTCAAAATCTCAATCATCTTTGACTATTTTTTCTTACCCCCACCCAATCAGTAAGGAAGGATTGTACTCATAATTCAACATCTGATATCATTTTAGCAATGCTTGTCCTACTGTTTTTCAAAGAGTGTACGTCCACCATCTGCATAAAAACACCTTTGGCGGGGAGCTTTTTGAGAATGTGGAACCTCTGGCTCTTATCCTCCAGACCCACAGAGTGGGGCTCCAGAATCTCCATTTTTTTTAACAAGCTCCCCAGGTAATTCTAATGTACACCAAAGTCTGAGGCTGCTATTGTGTGTATGTACTTATTTACGTGCATGTGTGTGTGTATCTGTCTGTACATATGCACGTGTGTATCATGTCATATTAAGTAAACGACAAAGTAAGTAGAATCACAGGATGAATATTTATCTGAATTCAATGGGCAAGAACATTAAAAAGGAAAAGTATAAGACCTTAAAGTAGACTTATTATAAGAGTGGTAGGAGACAGTGGCGCATGAAGGTACTGAAGTTTAGAGATGTGTAGTATCAAGGCTACCCGCTACTGTATATCTTGGGAGGGGGCAGATCTGGCCTGGGCCATTTTCTATAAAACTTTGTCATCTGGAGATGCAGAATATTTGACTTTTGTAACTGATAACAAGCTGAGGAATGTCAAAGAGACTCAGCAAGACTGAGGCTGCTGCTTTTATATTTTGCTTTTCTCTACAGTATTTCCAATGCAGACGCTTTAATTTTTAGAATAGAGCAGAAAGAAATCTTAAAGACCCTCTAATCTAGTGTTTTTCAGAGTGATAATTACCACCCATTATGGCTCTTGAAATCAGTGTTGTGGGTCACAACAAGCAATTTAAAAAAAAAGCAATAGAACAAAAACATCAGAGTCCCTGACCCATGAGTAGTGTTAAGAATTATTTTGAGAAACTTGTTTTAGTTTTACATGTAGGAAACATTGTCGCCTTATAAAATGTGTTTCTAACTGTAGGTCACAGGGTAAAAAAATTGAAAGTCACTTCAGTCCAAACTTCATTTCAAAGATGAGGAAACTAGGTAGGAAAGTGATTTTTCCAAGGTCACACAGCCAGTTAGTGGTAGAGCTGAGACCACAGTTCCCCAGTTCAGGGTGCTTGTCTCCTCAGCACGCTGCATGATTTGGAAATTTTTGCAGTCTGTACTGATTGCCAGTGGTGTGTATGAACAAACATGTACAACTTAACACAAAATCACTTTTCTTGATGTTCACACTTTACTTGTAAGAGTCCCTGCATGTTCAATTGAGAAATATGTTTAAGGAGAACTCGGTGCCCCTCATAACGTTTTGGAGCTGGAATGATCTCTCATCATCTTTCTAGAGGAAGGGCATGATGGAGAGTCTGATCTGAAAATGAAAGGTGGTGAACTCATAGGCACTTCATAAAAGCTAGCTGATTGAGTGGTGTTCATGAATGGCTTTTCAGTCCCTCTGAAAATCAATACTGTACCTTCTACACCAATTCTAGATTTCCAAGGTAGTCTAATTTTAAAAAATCTGAGGATAGGGGGTGAGATGAGAACTAGACTGGTGGAAGGAGAATTGAAGGAAGCCTCAGTAAGGTTTTTTGGGTAGGGTGGAGGATAAGGACAGACTTTGGAAGAAGTAAAAGTCAATGTTGGAGTTCAGAATATGGGTTTTTGAAGAACTGAGATAAATTTCCTCGGTATTTCTGAGGGAGTAGGGTGATGAGGTCAGAACTTTCTGCAGGTGGTAAAGGTCAGAGAACAAGGTCACAATGTGATTGGTTGAAGGAGAACCAAATTAAGTCCCCTCTCCTGGGAGTTTATGGGGCGGGGGTGGGGGATGAGTACAAAACTTTCTAGAAGCAGTAAAGTTCAGGGACTGTAATCAGAACATGATTATTTGAAGGCAAGCTAAAGGAAACACCCTTCCCTTCACTGGGTGTTGCTGCAAGTAAGGAGTGAGGACAGACCTCTCTGGAAAAAGTCTAAGTCAGGGCAAGTCAGAAGGTGATTGAAGGAGAACAGAGTTACCACAGTGAACATTTCCATTAACGTATATATCCCGTGATTTGGTCAACTTCCTGATCTTGGCGGGCAGTGCATTCTGACTTTTTAAGGTGATAATGGAGAGATGTCAGTGGGAGTGTCCTTAAAGAGGCCAGCAAGAAAATAAAATGAATCTCTTATGAAAACAGAAGTGAGTGATCCAAGAACAACCAAAGAGACTAACACATTCATCCTATCAATCATTTATACATTCTTGTTTGTAAATTTTTAGTTTCTTGAGGAAAATGTGTATGTTTTTATGGATTTTGGAGCAAGGCTTGGGATAGAAACCTAGTAATTAAGGAAAAAAAGAGTCAGGAGGTCTCGTGAGAAGAGGCGAGTCAGCCTTTCAGCAGCATATGCTGTTGTCTTCAAATTACAGAAAATGGAGATAGCACTGTAGGAGTCTTCAAAGGCCAGCAAGGAAAATTGAACTTACAATGAAAAAAACAAAGACAAATAAACCAAATATCATGAGAATAAAACACCAAAACAAGTTATCACTTTCAGTCCTTTCAGTCTATATCTACACGTGAGTAATTATTTTAGCTTTGTTAAAGTACAATTAAAGTTTTAAAAGTACCTAAAATATTTAAATTGATCTGTTTTACATATACTTAAATCTATGAAACCATAACCACAATCAAAATAGCGAACACTTCCATCACCTCCAAAAATCTCTTTCTTCCCATTTGTAATCTATCCCTCATTCCACCTCCATTCCCAGGCAACCTCTCGACTGCTTTCTGTCACTATAGTTTTCATTTTATAGTATTTTTATGTCAATTGAATCATAGACATTTGTACAAAAGACATTTAAGAGGCCAAGAAGATTGTTGGAGATTGGAAGAGGATTTCTAATGAGAACTGTTGGCTTTCCATGAATGCTTCCACCATAGAGGAGTAGGGGTTCTTCTCTGTCACCTCAAGCCTAAGGCAAAAAGCTTCAATGTATGAAAGTTGTAAGTTTACTTTTTTAAGAAACCACCAAACTGTTTTCCAAGGTGGTTTCAGCTTTTTACGTTCTCATCAGTAGAGTATCAGAGTTCCAATTTCTCCTCGTCCTCGCCAACACTTAGTATGGTCAGGGGTTTTTTGTTAATATTTTTAAGTTTTAACCATTCTAAAGTATGTGTAGTGGTATCTTGTGGTTTTAATTTTCACTTCTCTGGTGAGTAATGATGTTCAACATGTTTTCATGTACTCATTAGCCGTTCACATATCTTCTTTTGTGAAATCAGATATTTTGCTCATTTTTCAAATTGGTCATTTGTCTTTTTATTATTGAGTTGCGAGAGTTCTTTATAAATTCTACATTTAATTTCTTTGATACATATGTTGTGAATTTTTCTGTCTTGGCTTGCCTTTTCATTTACTTAATGGCTTCTTTCAAAGAAAAAAAGTTTTATATTATGAAGTTTGTTTAATCCACTTTTTCTTTTATATGTAATTGTGTTCTATTTAAGAAATGTGCTGCCTAATTCAAGGTTACCAAGAATTTCTCCTATATTTTCTTCCAATAGTCTTATAGTTTTAGGCTTTTCACTTTGGTCTATGAACCATTTCAAGTTAATTTTTGTGTAAGGTGTGAATTAAACTCAGTGTTCATTTTGTTCCACATTGATATCCAGCTAATACAGCACCATTTGTCGAAGAGACTTCATTTTCTCCATTGTATAGCCTTTATACCTTTGTAAAAAACCAAGTGCTCATATATATGTGGGTCTATTTCTGTAATCTCTCTGCTTTTCCATTGATCTATGTGTCTGTTTTCACCAATATCAAACTGTGTTGATTACTATAGCCTTGTAGTAAATCTTGAAATTAGGTAGGGAAAGTCCCGCAACTTTGTCCTTCTCTATTAAAATTGTTTTGGATATTCTAGGTCATTTGAATTTTCACATAAATTTTAAAATCGGCTGGTTATCTTTTTTTGAGCCTGTAGGAATTTTTATTGGTAGAATCTGTAGATCAATTTGTTGAGAATAGCTATATTAATAGAATCTTTCAATACATGAACATGATATAACTTCCATTTATTCAGATCTTATTAAATTCTCTCAACAATGTTTTGTAGTCGTCATTGTGAGAGTCTTGGACATATTTTGTTAGATTTACTCCTACATAATTTCTGTTTTTTGTTGCCACTGTAAAGGGAATTTTAAAATTTAATTTGCCAACTGGTTGCTGCTAGTATATAAAAATCCAATTGATTTTTCTATATTAACCTTGTATCCTATGATGTTGCTAACTTCATTTATTAGTTCTAGTAGCTGATTGTAGATTCCTTGCAGCTTTCTACATAAGCATTCATATCATCTGCAAATAGGGACAGTGATTTTTGTAAGGAAAAACACAAAAAAAGGAGTGTTGTCACAGCACTCAAGGGCAAGGACAAGGCTCCTAGGGTTTCCATAAACTCAGTTTCCTGTTAAAGATAACATCTTCTAGCCCTTTCTTCAGACATAGTTATGGAGTAGATGAGTACATAATAAATAATAAGCACACTCCAGTATTCCCTTTCCCATAATTCTTTAATTATATCATACTAAGCTATCTCTGATTCACCAACTTCATTTAGTATGATCTATCAGGAGACCATATTTCAGTCAACCACCTGAGCGAACAATTCGAATTCAGCTGCATGAGATAACACATTGAATT